GACTTCCTGGATTTTCTGTGTGGCTGCCTGGGATTCAGCCTCCGGCGGCTCCCTGGAGCTCCGTGCGGTTTCCTTGGTCATCCTGGGGCTTTCTGGGGCTCCCTGGGGTTTCCTTGGGATTTCCTGGGGCTCCCTGGGGTTTCTCTGGGTTTTCTTGGTGGGGCCTGTTGGGAACGCCTGGGGGCTCCTCGGGGGGCTCCTGGCCGCCTTTGGGCACTTCCTAGCGTCCCCTGGGGCATTTGGCAGGCTCTTGAGCCGTCTGGGGGTTTGGTGCGGTTGCTGCTGGGAGCTCCCATTAGGTCGGGCGTGTCCTCCTGCAGGCGGTGGAAGACAAATAAAAACACAGCCCAAGCATTTTCAATACAATAATCAAACATAGTAGAGCAATCGTTCCCCAGCTATTTTTGAATCCTTGTTGAAACATATTCCTCCTGTAGACGGACATGCCCGGCTGCGAACACCCTGGGGTTCGGCCGAGGTTCCAACGATGACTTTCATTAATCGTAAACATAGTAGAGCGATCGTCCCCAAGCTATGTTTATATCGATGTTCAAGTCCATTCCCCCTGTAGACGGACATGCCCGGCTGAAAACACCCTGGGCTTCGGCCGAGCTCCCAGCGATGATTTCCATGAAGCGTAAACTCGTTTCCGGCACAAAAGAATCATGCGGAGCAGGCCCGCGCTTGCTCGCCGCATCCCGTCTCCTCCGTTCACGCGCCTCGGTGCCTGCCCTGCGGGCGAGCGGTTCTCTCGGCGTGCCGGCGCGCTTGCTCTGGAGCGGCGGGAGTCTATAGCTCAGCGTGGCTCCCTGTGCTGGCGCGTGGCTACCGTGGCGAGCGAATGTGCAGTTGATTTCGGCAACGCCGAGATCGGAGACCCAATTCGTGCGTCCTGGCATCAGGTCGTGTGTCGCGCCGTTCGGCCTAGCTCTTCTGTGAATCCGTGAGTCTCCCGGCCCCTGCGGCACGGCGGCGCGCGCATGCCGCGCTCCTGGGCCGCGGGCGTCTGCTGGGCCTGGCCCTCTGAGGAAGGGCGTGGACCCCTGAAAGAAACGTCTGTTCTGCCGGGCTCCCTGTGAGGAGCCTGTGGGTCACTACCTTCTCGCGGGTTTTTCGCCCGAGGTCCAGGACCCCCCCGGACAGGAGCTGTATCTTGTGGGGCCTGGGCCGCATTTGGCCCGTGGACGCTGTTTTGTCGCGCGTTTGGCGCGTGTCCTGTCGGCCAGATGACGCGTTTGGCGTCGCCAGCACGCTCGCCACATTGTCTTGCCCACGCGCGTTTGGCGTATGGCTGCTTCGTCGTCGTCGTCGTCGTCGTCGTCGTCGTCGTCGTCGTCGTCGAGAACGAGTGCAATCGAAACCGACAAGAAGGATGGGCCACCTTCCCAAGGGTACCCCTGCATCCTTGCCTGCTCGGTCGGTCCTCGACCCTCCTCGAAGGCCAGCCCCTCTCGAAGAGCATGGGGGTGCGCATCAAGGGGGGGGGGGGCTTGCATCCTCACCGCGCATCCTCAATATCAGCTCTGAATGTGCTCACTTCTGTGCTGCGCACAAAAGGGGGCAAAACGCCCGCAAATGACGTGCGCGCCCAACCGCGTGCATGACTACGGCCCCCCAGTCCGCGAGACCAACCTCGTGACAGGAACGCTCGCGCAACGCGTGCGTTCGAAGCCAGCGTGGATCCATGCGCGTGCACGTTCTTCTTCCGCTCCCGAGGGGAGGGGGGCGGTGCTAGCCTTCCGCGCCGCCGGGCGGCGGGCGAACGAACTCGCGTCCGCTGACGTTGCTCATCTGGCGCTCCGCTGCCTGCTCCGGTCATCGGCCGCTCTCTGCCTGACGGTGCGCATCGGTCGGAAGAAGTGGGTAAACGCATGAAGTAGGAAGGCGCTTCGCGTACATTGGAACCTGGGAGTCCATCAGGGCGAGAGGGAGGTCGGGCATGTCCTCCTACAGAAAGATTTTGGACGACAAATAAGGAACTGTCAACAAACATTCAAAAATAATAAACAAATGATAGAACAATCGCCCCCATCCTGTTTTCGAGCCATTTTCGAATATTCCTCCTGTAGAGAGACGTGCCCGACTTAAAGCGAGAGGGAGGGAGGGGGGGCCTGGGCGGGAGGGCCTTCTCCAGGACCAACCTCCCGCCCCGCATCGACGAAGACAGAGGCGCACAAGACGCCACAATCTAAACTTTCGGAGCCCCGCGCGGATTTCTGGAATCGACGCTGAATTCGCCGGCCCAACGGGCCAGAGGCGTGCTAAGATCTCCGGCTACTGGTAAACCAGATTCTCTGGCACAGGGTGTCTAGAGCTCCGACCGTTTTATTTTTCGCGACGCACCCCTCCCCCAGTGGGACCTCTGCCCACAGCGCCCCCCAGTGGGACCTCCCCAGCGCCCCCCAGTGGCCCCCAGCGCCCCCCAGTGGGACCTCTGCCCACAGCGCCCCCCAGTGGGGCCTCCCCAGCGCCCCCCAGTGGTCCCCAGCGCCCCCCAGTGGGACCTCTGCCCAGTGCCTCCTCCGCGCCCAGTGCCCCCTCCGCCCCGACGATTTAATTTTTCGCGACGCACCCCTCCCCCCCCAGACCTCCCCAGCGCGCCCCAGTGGTCCCCAGCGCCCCCCAGTGGGGCCTCCCCAGCCGCGCCCAGTGCCCCCTCCGCCCCGACGGTTTTATTTTTCGCGACGCACCCCTCCTCCCCCCAGTGGG